GTTCGAGGTATGTATATTCAGTATCCGCTCGGAATGGTCGCCGGTCCATTCTGGGTTCTAGTGGCCTAATCTAACCACTAGAGTGTACACATGGTCCGGTATTAGTTTGTGTCGGGAGATTGCGGTATTAGTTTGTGCCGACTAATTTCAGTTATCAGTTACGTAACTTATGTCGCGAGATCAGACCGGTATCAGATATCAGTTCAGTTTCAGTTCAGTTATATATGCTTAGTTCATGATATTGTTATTATTTACGATGTTTACATTAGTATGAGTTTCTGCGGAGCACAAGTATTTTAGTGCTCACGCCCCCACGCCTTTCATGTTTTTCAGGTCGCAGGGTCGGAGACGAGGAGTGAGCGGGCGAGCTGTTCAGGACATTTGTAATTATATGTATATATGTTTTTGCCACGCTTGAAAACCGCTAAAACTTTCAGTACTTATTATCAGTTTTTGTTCCGACAGTAGTTGGATAAGACAGTATAACCGTTTTATATCAGTTTAAAATTTTAACGGTTTTCAGAAAAATCAAGTTTTTCACGGTAGCATCCCGAATCAGTTTTCGCAAAATAAGTATTTTATTTATTTATTTATTCAGAAAATTGCGAAAAATTGCGTACTCTGATATTATAAAAAGTCGGGGTGTTACAATTGGTATCAGAGCACGTTTCTGCGTCTCTGAAAAGTTTTTCAGTCAGTAATTTTCAGAAAAACCTGAACCGTCACGCTCACGCCTCGCCGACTCCAGGTAAGTGCTGATTCAGTTTTTCAGTTATAAACATATTACTTTGTCTATGCTCAGAAATCAGTAATCAGACTTAGTTAAGATGCTCGAATCAGGTTCAGACTTTAGAGTTCAGATATAACTCTAGAATTCAGTATATTCAGACATGACTTTAGAGATCAGTATACTCAGACATGACTCTAGACTTTAGTATCTTCCGATATGACTCTAGAGTTCCTCGGGTTTCACGTCAGTAATTATCGGCCATTTTTGGCAACTCATCAAGAGATTTGTGTGCCTAAGTAATCAGTCAGAATATCATCATGTGTTCAATAATTTTGAACTTTCTCAATGTTCAGATGCCGCCACGTAGGGAACCCGATCATCCGACTCCTACTCAGGCTACAGTGGTCGCCCAATTCTGCGACTATCATGCCGAAAAGTTCTCAGGGCAGGGAGATCCTCGCATAGTTGACGAGTGGATTCAGGGCCTGGATTTTATCTTCGAGGTCATGGAGTGCCCTGAGAGATATCGCGTCATTTGCGCTCAGCTTCAGCTCACCGGTGATGCCAGGCTCTGGTGGAACGCTTACTGGAGCATGCGTCCCGGCGAGAAGGCGGGATGTACGTGGGAGATGTTCAAGGATTTAGTCCGCGGGAAATACTACCCCACCTACTACCGAGCCGAGATGGAGCGTCAGTTTCTATCGCTCCAGCAGGGTACTCGTACTGTTGATGAGTACGAGAGGGAATTCACGAGACTTGCAGCTTTTGTTCCTGATTTGGTCCGCATGGAGGCCCAGCGAGCGCAGCGTTTCATTGACGGGCTTTACCTAGCAGTCCGTCATAACATCGTAGGCCACGGGACACAGACGTACACACGTGCAGTCTCTATTGCCCAGGAGGTGGACGCCAGCATTAGGAGGGAGGCCGTCCGTGAGCAGTTCCAGCCATCTGCCCCTGCTCAGTCGTCTTCAGTTCCACCGATGCCAGCTCTACCATCTACCCAGCCGCCAAAGAACAAGAAGAGGAAGGGGAAAGGTGCCCTGGCAGATAAGAGGACCCGACGGAGGCTACAGCAGATCCCTCAGTGCCCGACATGCAAAAAACTTCACCGAGGCGAGTGTCGCTTTGTTCAGGATGTACACTACTACTGTCACGAGCCCGGACACTTCGTGAACCGTTGTCCGAAGAAGGCGCAGCAGCCTCAGCAGCCTCAGCAGCCACCGCAGCAGCAGCAGCCCCGTCAGCAGGCACAGAGGCAGCCGCAGCAGCAGCAGCAGCAGAGGGGCAGACAGCAGGCCCGAGTTTACGCCGTCGATCAGGCTGAGGCCGAACAGCAGCCAGGTACCATGTCCGGAATGGTTATTCTTAATAATGTTCCTGTGTTTGCTTTATTCGATACTGGAGCGACACATACTTTCATTTCACGACGATGTCTTGACGCCATCGGAGTTCGTGCTACTACCGCTATCGATCCTCTTGAGGTGAGTTTGGCCTCAGGACGAAAGATAGTGACCTCAGCTAAAGCTTCAGATCTTAGCCTTTCCATCGGTGGCCGAGTTTTGTCTACCGACGCGTTTGTTCTCGAGATGAGGGATTTCGACCTTATTCTCGGAATGGATTGGCTATCCTCTTATCATGCGGATATCAGATGTCATGACTGGGAGATTACTCTCTATCTTCCAAGAGACAAGTCGATTACTTTCTTCGGCTCCAGAAATCGTTCTTTGCCTCATGTTGTTTTGATGGCAAAAGCCACTAAGTTGCTGCGACGAGGCAACTGCCAGGGTTATCTAGTGAGCCTTGTCAATGATTCCCAGAAAGCACGTTCACCTCACGATGTTCCAGTCGTTCGAGAGTTTGTGGACGTATTTCCAGACGAGCTTCCAGGAGGACCGCCTAACCGGCAGGTGGAGTTCTCAATTGATCTCGTTCCAAGAGCCGGTCCAGTGTCCAAAGCCCCGTACCGCATGGCGCCTAAGGAGTTGCAGGAGCTTAAGGCGCAGATTCAGGAGCTGTTACGACTCGGTTTCATCCGACCGAGCATGTCACCTTGGGGAGCACCCGTTCTCTTTGTTAAGAAGAAGGACGGATCCATGTGCATGTGTATCGACTACCGGGATCTTAATCGGTTGACGATCAAGAACAAGTACTCGCTTCCCAGGATCGACGACTTATTTGATCAGCTGCGGGGAGCCTGTGTGTTCTCAAAGATTGATTTACGATCAGGCTACCACCAGCTGAAGATTAAAGAGTCAGATATCGCTAAGACCGCTTTCAAGACTCGTTACGGCCATTACGAGTTTGTAGTCATGCCATTCGGTCTCAGCAATGCGCTAGCAGTTTTCATGGACCTCATGAACCGTATCTTCCATCCCTACCTCGATCAGTTTGTTATTGTCTTTATTGACGATATTCTTATCTACTCGAAGAGCCAGAAGGAGCACGAGGAGCATCTGAGGGTGGTTCTTGAAACCCTCAGACGAGAAAAGTTGTTTGCAAAATGCTCCAAATGCGAGTTCTGGCTCCAGCGAGTATCCTTTTTGGGTCATGTGATTACTCAGGCAGGTATCGAGGTGGATCCTTCTAAGGTCTCAACTGTTCAGAACTGGTCGACACCGAGGAGTCCGTCCGAGGTTCGCAGTTTTCTCGGTCTAGCTAGTTACTATCGCAGGTTCATCGAGGGTTTTTCCAAGATCGCTCTCCCTCTATCCCAGCTGACGAGGAAGTCTGTGAAGTTCGAGTGGACTGACCGATGTGAGTCGAGCTTTCAGGAGCTCAAGAGAAGATTAACTTCAGCACCGGTGTTGACTATTCCCGATCCTTCTCGGAGTTTCACCATCTTCAGCGATGCTTCGAGACTGGGCTTGGGATGTGTCCTTATGCAAGATGGCCAGGCCGTCGCGTATGCTTCACGTCAGCTTAAGCCGCATGAGCAGAATTATCCGACGCACGACTTGGAGTTAGCAGCAGTCGTTCATGCTCTCAAGATTTGGCGACACTATCTTTACAGCGGTCATTGTGAGATTTTCACAGATCATAAGAGCTTGCAGTATATCTTTACTCAGAAGGAGCTCAACATGAGACAGCGCCGTTGGTTAGAGCTCGTCAAGGATTACGACTGCTCGATTCAGTATCATCCGGGGAAGGCGAACGTCGTTGCTGATGCCCTAAGCCGAAAGGTGAGGGGTGACTTGACGTACGTCATTACTCAGCAGAGTCCGTTGATTCAGGAGTTTGCCCGGATGCAACTTCAGGCGATTGATGCACTTCCCATAGCAGTTTCGGGGAGTACCAGCGCCAGTGTCAGTGCTATGCATCTTCAACCGACGCTGAGAGAGAGAATCTGACGAGAGCAGGCTTCTGACGAGTTCGTTCGTGTCATGGAGGCCAAAGTTCGCGCCGGGGGCGTCGAGGGTTTTCAGCTAGGTGCCGATGGTGCCCTAGAGTTCAGAGGCAGGATCGTGGTCCCGAAAGTCGAGGCGTTGCGGAAAGAGATTTTATTAGAGGCTCATACACACCCTACCTAGCCCATCCTGGGAGCACGAAGATGTATCACGACCTGAAAGGGACGTTCTGGTGGCGAGGCATGAAGAAGGACGTCGCCGAGTTCGTCAGGAGGTGTTTTACCTGTCAGCAAGTCAAGGCCGAACATCAGAGTCCGATTGGCCTCCTGCAGCCACTGCTGATTCCGAGATGGAAGTGGGAGGAAGTCACGATGGATTTCGTTAAGGGATTACCGAGGTCGTCTGAACATCACGACGCTATCTGGGTCGTGGTCGACAGATTGACTAAGGTCGCGCATTTCTTACCCGTTTCGATGAAGATGTCTCTGGACAAGTTGGCTGAGAGATATACCCGTGGGATCATCCGACTCCACGGAGTGCCCGTCACTATTGTATCAGACAGAGATCCCAGATTCGTCAGCAGATTCTGGCACAGCTTACACGAGGCGATGGGCACGAAGTTAGAGTTCAGTTCAGCCTATCATCCGGAGACAGACGGTCAGTCAGAGCGGACTATTCAGACGCTTGAGGATATGCTTCGCACTTTGGTTGTTGACAGGGGTGCTAAGTGGGAGTCATTGTTACCGTACGCCGAGTTCGCGTATAACAACAACTACCATTCTTCTATTCAGATGGCTCCTTACGAGGCACTTTACGGTCGCAAGTGTCGTTCCCCTCTCTATTGGGACGACGTCGGAGAGCGACGAGTACTCGGTCCTAAGATGATCGAGGAGACAGACAGAAATCTTCCGCCGATCATCATCGACGAGACATTCAGTTCGAGGTTGGGGAGCCAGCTTTCCTCAGAGTTCGTCCGATTTGCGGAGTTGTGCGATTCGGAAAGAGAGAGAAGCTGCACCCTCGGTTCATCGGTCCGTTCGAGGTTCTCGAACGAGTAGGCGAGGTCGCGTATCGATTAGCCCTACCTCCCGAGTTATCAGGCATTCATAATGTATTTCACGCATCGATGTTGCGTAAGTACGTGTGCGACCACGATCATGTTATTCCCCACTCAGATATTCAGGTTCAGCCAGATCTTTCGTACGAGGAGGGACCGATAGCTGTACTAGACCGTCAGGTTCGTCGGCTCCGGAAACGAGATATTCCCCTCGTGCGTATTCAGTGGGATCGCCACGGAGCTACTTGGGAGGAAGAGTCCGATATACGCGCTCGTTTTCCAGATTTTCAGTTCTGATGTACATATTTTCTTGTTCAATGTACATAGTTCATGTATTTTCAGTTATGTTCTGAATTTCCGAGGACGAAAATTTTGTAAGGAGGGAGGATTGTAATATCCTGTCAGTTTCAGTATAAATTATATTTTTAGTTCCGATATTAGTTTTCAGAATTAATTATTTTCAGTCTTTTCAGTCGAAATTACCGGAAATTATTTTCGACGTACCGTTTACGTTCGGAATAATTTTGGTAAATAAGCATTATGTTTAATTTAATAATTAAACATAATTGAAGGATTAAGTATTAATTAATCCAAGTTAGTATTAAAAAGCCGTACGGAAATTTAATTAAGTTCCATATCATTTCCGTATGCCTAAGTGTGGTAACCTTGGGGAATTTGTCCAACTTTCCTCATTTTAAGTGGTCTTAACGTGGCATTAGGAGATTAAAGATGGGGGCTTAGTCATATTAAGCCTTAGTTTGCATGTTACAAGTGTCCTTATCATTATTTAACCACATAACCTCTCCATCACTACTTTTCCCTTCGGTGGCCGTATATAAAGAGGTGTTGGGTGGGGAATTTTTCCACCATTTCCCACATATGTGTTCTTTATGAGCTTACCGTAAGTTTATTTCAATAATTCAACCATCATATAGTGAAGGAGAGAGTTAAGTGAATTTTGTGAGATTTTTGTGTATTGATCGTAAGCAATTGCCGAGAGTAATCCGCAAGCTAGCGCACGTTCGAGCTATCGCGCATAAGCTGCAAGCAGTCCGCTGTACCGCAAGCTTCCGCACGCATAGCCGTATACATCTGCACGGTGATCCAAGGACACGCACACGGCAGTACACGCGACAGGTCACGCCGAGCACGGAAATACGGGGAGTCGTATCGCCGAGCTTTGTTGAAGGTAATTTCCGGCGGTAGTACGGCTGAGATTATCATGCTAGTTGAATTCAGTTTTTAGTTCCGGTCTTCATGCGTGTCTTTTGTCATTAAGGCCGTGCGAGAAGCCGTGCCGATCATGTTAACTATTCTCACATATTTAGCCTTTATGTGCAAAATCATGTTTAGTTTAGCTTAAGTGTTCGGATGAATAATCATGTTTGCGGAGTTGCGGCCAAAGGTAACGTGGTTGCGCACGTAGCGAACCACGGGCCGTACTTGCTGGTTCAGTATGTTAAGTTCCTTTTTCTCGAGCATTTTTATGTGATTTATTCAGTAGATTATTAATCACATTCAGTTAAGTTGAAATTGCCGAGAATATATGAGATTCGGTCGTAAAACGGCACAACGCCGTCGGCGGCGCCCGGTGCGTCCGCCGCGGCCAAAGTTCTGTCCGTTGAGTAAATTTTCATGTTTTCAGTAATAAATCAGCTTATATGTCATGATATGTTAATTGAGGTCAGTTTGTTCGGAAGTTGTTGCCGGACGGCC